TTAGATTTAAAATTATAAATATGCACAGGTCCTGTGGCACAACGGAACACCGAAGCACACTCCCCGATTAAAGTTTTCTTTTCCTTCTTTTTTTTTTTTTGTTTAAGAAAAAGCTTTTAGCGAAATGATAATGCACAAAATGCTTGTCTTGTCTTTTTCTCATGGCTTTGTTTTTTCCACATTTTTGTTTTAGAACAATTTTCAGCTTAACTGAAAGTTTCAGCCTGTTGTGGCACAGCAAGTTTTGAAAGTGCTGCCACAAAATGACGCCAACGTTGATGGGGGATTTTCTATAAGCTGTCGCATCACCAGAAGCCACTGTGGTCTGCCACATAGTGAGAAATGCGTAACGCAGAGTTCCACAATCTATAGTGCGAGTATGTAGATTTTAATGTGTGCTTGTATGGATGGATGCATTGGTAGTTTGGGCTAAAAGTTGAAGCTAATAAAAAGTTGCTGGCTACCGGTTGGTTGGATTTGTAATGCAAAAGTGTGTAAATCAGGTTGGGAAAACACAAAACAACGACGGGCTAGCAAATAAATCCAGCAGCTGGCTCTTGTTTTCTTTATGCAAAAGTTTTGGGTCAAGTTTGTTTGGTTAATTGTTGTTATTCTCTGGAATGCGGACTGCGGACTGCGAACTGGGAACTTTCAACTTTGCCCGCTCGCCATGTACATATGCGTGAATGAAGGTGTTGTTATTGTTATTTGCTTATTAAATTAACTAAATGTGAGTGATTAAGGTAGGATGTGAGTCTATGAAAAAGGTCACTTTTGTATCTTGATTTAATGTAAAGGTCAAACAAAAACCCACACTGCGCACTATCAAAACTTTTCAAGACTTGAAGGTGGACGCAAGGAGATATTTAAGTAAACATTTTAAATGGAAATCAAGTCAATATTTCCATCTATTGCGGTGCTTTCATTTAAAAACCACCATCCGGCAAAGATGGTCAGCTTTGGCTGGTTCAAGTCAGCCAAGTGACAAAGCGCATATAGATAGCCTGATATTGCGAGGCAAGGGCGTACGCAGGGGGGGTCATATGCATAAATTATTTTTTAAATGCATCGGGCATTATTTAATCAAAATTTTAATTTTTTGGCCCCTTTGGTAAAAGCTGGGTACGCCCTTGTTGCGAGGTCCTGCCTAATTGCATTTAAATACACTACTGTTATTTATCATGACATCCAGGGACAAAATGTGCTACACCCGATCAAATCAAAGGGCGACCAACCGTCTCTCGACCGTTGTAGTCCCGCAACAACACGAACATTACCAACATTGCATTTATAATAGCGGAAGTGATGGGCAACCTTGTTTTTTAATATTGCATTTAAAAAGGTGGCAACTCTACAAGACCAAGAAATCAAGAAATCACCGATATCAATAAGTCCGAGAAGCTCTCGTGCTTGAACCGATAGGCATTGCTCTTTTAAACACGCCATAAGACAGCCGCGCGATCCATAGTCTAATTAATTGTGATGCTGAGCCACATCTTATGGTTTAATGAAGATCCACAAACAGAGTTTTTTTTTTGAATTACATACTACCTAACAGCTTCTAATGCACGCTATATCAGAAATAAACTACCGTTCCCAACCTCTAAAGTTGTCCCGCATTGAATTTTGAAAAGTTGGTCGTCTTAAAATCAGTTGAAAGAAGTCTGTCTATAATATATAGATTCTGCCTTTTAGGCAAACATTTTTATGAGCCAAATAGATAAGTGCAATTAGTGTGGCCAACCTATTTTAGGATAAGATTACGACGCAGGCGCTCTTTTTCTTATAATTAATTAGATTTTTTGTATTGAGAGGATATCGATACTATAACCACACCCCATGTTTTGTATATCAATACCAATTTTATTAATTATTTTCAGTACAATTTTGTATGAATTTTCGATACCCTTTCATGTTTAATACGATTTCGATACTGCAATAATTTACAATACCTATTTGGTGGTTATTTTCGATCGATACTCTATGCTTGAGATCGTTTCATTAATATTCCTTTCCGAAATCTACAAAATGCAAACAGTATAATATCAAGAGCCGATACACTTTCGTTACTTTATGTATACCTAAAAAATGCAAACATAGTTTTAATATAATATTTTATGCTATTTAAAGACGTTATATATGTACAATTTCGATACTTATAAAATGGAAATACTGTTTCTATATAATATGAATACTTTATGCTTTTCATTACTTTATATATGTATTTGTATATATTATTCATTGCTTCTCTATACAAGTCCGGTAATTCATATTGATACTTAACATATTTTCGATACTTTTTGTACACTTATAGATTATTATTTGATGATTATAACGATTTTGATACTCTAAAAACTGTTTCACTATAAAAGTAATACTGGATATGGTTATGATACCTTAAGAGATAAAAATACTATTGTTATAGAGAATTGATATTCCTTCCATACGATATCCTTTATTTTCTTTTATTGTGTAGTGAACATTTTGCTCATGTTGTTTCCAACATTTATTTGGACTAAAAATTAATTTTATAATATCAGCTTCAAATATTAAAGCGAACCTCACTGCAATTACAAGATCTTTAAATTTGTTTTTTCTTGTTCGTATGTTTTTTTGCTGGATTCCCCCCCCAAAAGAAAACTTTTTTTTTGTTTTGATTTTTTTCCATTTCTAATAACAGCCTGTTTGCATTCAAACACTTTATGGGGCTGATGTTCACCCAAGATGTTTTGTCTTCTGCAATAGGCCGTTTGGATAACTCCTTCTTCATCTTTACTCGTATACCGTCACTTCCTTACTTGAGCAGCTTATCCTATCAGCTCAGCCATATTAGTAGGAAATATAAATTGAGATTCGCAAGAACGGCTTATCCTATCAACTCAGCTAAAGTCAGCATAAAATTTAAATTTAGATCCGCAAAAGCATAAATTGAATAATTGTTCATAACACTCACACACACTTAATCTCTGAGCTGCACATGTGTCCAGATATATGTTAATAGTTCACTCTGATTCCATCGCCTTGAAATGTGTCTGACATCTACAAAATGTTTTATAATTGCCACAAACAATGCGCAAGCAAAGTTTTCTTTTTATTTTATCATAAACAGACGCGCAACATTACTCAAATTTCTCTGTTTATCGTATCATATAATTTTCATATGTTTTTTGTTTTCTTTTTTTTTTTTGACAAAAGTGTGCAGAGTGCAACCATACATATACACACACCCGCACTTATACTATATAAGTACATTCATAGATATAGAGTGTGCGTGCGCCTGAAAGCATGCCACACAAATATGCAAATTTTGCAACGACGCCGACGCATGTGAATAAGCATGTGTGTGTGTGTGTGTGTGCGTGCATGTCCTAGACAACATAAAGCAACTTAGTTGCCATAATTTGCACATTTTAGCAACGCATGCCAGCGATAGAAGCGCACGAATTTGCACTTTGAATGCAACGCCCGAAAGGATCCCACATGATATACGACCCAAAAGCGAATGCGTTTGATAGCAACGCAAAATGGCAATAAACAAGTGAGCAACAAAAGGTCAACAACTACAGTTTGGCTTCTACACGAGGGATACAATGCCTAAAGACAAACTTCCCTTTGGACCGTAAAGAGAGCTTTAAGGCTGTACATGGTTCATAAAAATGTACTACTGGACTTGTTGGTTATAATGATTTATTTATTTATAATATTAATTATAATTTTCTCTTGGAATAAAAAGCCCTAAATGCCAAAACAAAAAACTACAACCACACACACATTCAAAACAGACTGTTCCATCAATGGAAATATGATTGAATGGATTACATGGATTCCTATTGATCGGGATGTGGATTTCCTACCTCTATTAGGCGTGATTAGCTTTCTTTATCCTTGACTTACATTCAAGTCCATCGTACATCAATTTTCTATTTCTAAATTTTCGAATGCCTGCATCTGTTCAAATGTATTCGTTCCCGAGGCGGACTGAATAACCCCACAGGTTTTAATAAATGTTTGAACAAATTTTCCAACTTTGCTAAGATGACAAAGATACTGTAAATGGTCTGAGAATACCGTAAATAATATAATAATAAATAATAAAGCTAACTATAACTACCGATAGTACTTACGAGTACTTCTACAAAATAAATACGTTTCTATCAAAATTTATCCAAAATATCCAAGTTACGAAAAATAGTTACAATAGAATTAATTTAAAAATATAAATAATATAGTGTTCTTTTGTGTATATAGTATGACAAAATCTACTAGAATTGGCAACCTTCAACAAAGTTAAAAAAAAAGTTATTAGTTCGTGCGCAAATGTTTACGCGCATAGCCATCTACCGATTTAAAATCCCTTATCACATTCATTAAAATATTTTCTCGGTGGATGCTGCATCACAGTACTTTCATTATATTTTCTGGGTATAGAATATACAACTGTGTTGAAGGATTTGTTGAGAAATGCTTAAAAAATACAGATTTCAATAACGATATCCTACTAATCGATGCCCATTTGATACTAAACATAGTTTTTAGTACTCATTACTCGATGCCATTATGTACTTAAATTGTTCATTTCATGTTAAAGTTGCTTATTGCAATTGTTTGGAAACTTTAAATAAAATTTAAGAGCCATCAATTCAGCATAGAGAAATGATACTATACCCGTACTACAAATTTTTTTGTAGACCATACATTTTTGTGTGACCATATTTCAGCTGCTTGCCATGATTTTGTTTTTCGAATGGGAAAAGTCAACAAAACTGTTGCAGCAATTCAATTAAGAGCTCAAAAAGCATTTGCCACACAAACACAAACGCATTGATTGCACGCTAAAAGTTCGACGGATAAAGCAAATGGACATCAAATAGTTAGACTGTTTCTCTGGTTGTTTTCATTTTCGTTTTTATTTGGCTTTGGCTTTCATTTTGTCAATTAGAGTCGTCAACGAGTGGCACAGTTGTGTCCCAGCAATGCCGAGAGCCTGCCACAATTACCTCTTAACGTCTCAGGTACAGCGAGCTGTAGGGGTAGGCGCTATAGGCAGCAGCATAAGGAGCAGCATAGGTGCTGTAAGCGGCATAAGGAGAGGCAGCGTAGACGCCACTGGTGTAGGCGGCATAGGGCGAGGCAGCAAGCACCGGAGCAGCAGTGTAGCTGGTCAGGAATTGCGGCTTAGCAGCGGCCAAGGCAACAATGGCGAACAGGCAGAGAGCGAACTGAAAAGAACAGAAAAGGATGGTTGTAAAGAATTACACTCACAAAGACGAAGAAGACTTAAATATGCATTTGAAAAAAAGTCCAAATAGCTTGCCGTTGAATACGAAGCTCATTAACGATTATCCGATTGTGAACAACACTAAATAGCCAAGTATTTATGGGGCTTAACAGCAACAGTTTAACATTAAAAAATTATAATCTTCGAGTCGTTAACAGGCTTTACTTGTTGATTTTAATGCTCGAAGTTTCAGAAACTTTTGTTCCCATTTACTCAACAACTTTCATTACTATTCAAATATTCGATGCCATGCGATGTGATTTACTCATCAACTTTCTTTACTATTCATGTTCGAAGCTAACTTTTTGTCATCTACTTAACCACATTCTTTACTAATTGTGTTTAAAGACTCGATACCATTCGATTTGATTTATTTATCAACTATCCTTACTATTCATGTTCAAAACTCCCTTTAAATGTCATCTTCTTAATAATTTTCTGCACTAATTGTATTCAAACTTTCGATACATTTTGATGTCATCTACTTATCAAAACTCTACCATTTGTGTTTTAAGATTCGATACCATTCGATATGATTTACTTATCAACTTTCTTTACTATTGATGTTCGAAGCTACCTCTTATTGTCATCTACTTAACAATTGTCTGTGCTTGAAGTATCGATACCATTTGATTTCATCTTCTTAAACACTTTACTTGCTATTGAGCATTTAATTATTGAAAGATTATTAGAGCGGTTTTTTGAATTAGATTTTTAAACTGCTGTTTCTTTGTTTGTTTTGTTTTTTGTTTTTGAAGTGTATCGTCCAAGCAAGGAAATTGAAAACCGATTGATTCCTTCCCATTGATTCCTAGTTGATGATTAGCTCCTTTATTATCGATGCTGATTGGATACTTACAAACTTGAACATCTTGGCTGAGTTGGTTGTTTGTTTTTTGGTTGCTTGTGACTTTTGTGACAGAACAAAGTTGTATGATTTGCAAGTGCAGCAGTCGTTGCTTTTATACTAGCAGAAGACAAATAATAATGAAGTAGTACCTCCCGGGCATTTGGCTAAAAAGCTTCAAATCAACCTTTGTTGACCATGGCACGTATTTCTGAACGGTAGCCCGTTTTAATTTTGCTTTGGCAGTCTTTATGGCTGCCACGTGACCGGCATCTTAATTAAGGGCATGCGTTATGCATTATTTTGTGTGTTTTTTCTTACCACACTGCTTAACACCTTGCCCAGACTAATAAGTGGCCTTGCCTTGCATTCCAGTCTACTCGTGCTGTTCTAAAATCGGAAGTAATCAGTAACCAAAGCAATTGACCTTTGGCAATGTTAATTTGTTTCGTAAATTACACCAGACAGCAAACTGAAAAGAATGTATTCAACCTACTACTCTGAACTTTTTTCTACTCGTGGAACTATAGACTATTGCTAGTCTAATGAAAATATTACATGGTTACAGAAAGTGTTTTCCTTTAAAATAAAATTCGATATTGTGCCAGACAAAGAATCGAACTATATTAGAATATAATTAATTTATTAACTTTTATAAATTGAAATCCATTTCGTTACTCGATGCATTTTCAATGCTCTGTTGATTTTCGATACAATTTAGATTTAAAATAAATTTAAATACTCGAAAATTCGATATATTGTGTATAATAAATGAATTGGCGATATAAATTCGATACTTAAGAAACTAATACATTCTTGAAATTTTGTTAGCCTATAACTTTTCTGCTCCTTCTCGATTTCTGTGAAGTAGTTTTGATGATTTTCGATGCGATGTTGATTTATAAATCTTCCTAACTGATACCAAATTACGATACCATGTCGATTGCATTTCACATCTTAAGGATTTATAATTACAATTCTATATTTAATCCACGTAAGATTGGATTTATAATGCTTTAACATGCTAATACTAATTTGCGGAAACGTTTAAATATATTTTGTAGCTACATTTTTGTATCCAACATATATTTCTTCCATACAATATTTGTATTGATTAACAATATTTGGGGGCACTGCATATTTTTTTTTCACCATAATAATGGCAATTGTGTTAAGCAGTCTTTTTAACTTTTAATACAAAATTGGGTAACGCATAAATTTTTGATAACTTCTCGTGAATCAAGGACTAAAGCTTCCTACTTACTATTGATAACATATCTACTCTGTTTAGATTTGGTAAAAATTTATACATAACTATTAAAATAAATAAATAAATAAAAAAAATAAATAAAAAAATAAACCAAAAGTACGAAATGGTTTTAATAGCCCCGATAAAAATAACAGCAGTAAAATATTCATATTTGATGCGAGTGCTACATAAATTTTCGCATCTCGCGCTAGTTTTGTGATAATTTGTTACTCTCTGGCAACAAAGTTTGTTGCTACAAATCTGCAAGTAAACAAATTATTCATGCTGTGATGAAAAATGCGTTGTCTGGTGTTATCGCTGGCAAAAACTAAAATATATTACCGTGCTTTATATACTGCCCCAAGTGCTTCAATTAAGTGCATTTTGGTTGCATGTTGCTTATCAGCTTCAGTTGGCAGCCCCACTACTCCCCATAGCGTCCCCCCCTCCATTTCCAAGAACTATCCCAGTTCCATTTCTATTGTGCGATAGATGGCTACATATTTCAGTTTGTTCGTTACCATGGAGCTCCTGCCGGACACAAAGAATTCTGCAGCTTGCCGCCTTTTGTTGCAACAGCGCCTGCCCCCAGTCCCCAGCCCTCACTTTCCGCATCGTACTACCTTCAACTCATTTATGCATTCGCAACATGGCCTGCCCCATTGTTGTCGGCCGCCCCCAGCTTCGTTCTGCCTTCCCTGCTCCAGCGCCTGCCTGCCACTCAACAAACATTCAATTTGTCAAGTTGTAAAATTAAAGCATCTTGCCATTTTCCGTGTTCCGTTCTATTGCCAGATACTATATAGTACTACGGGTATACGTAAGTATATTGTGTGTGTCTGTGCGAGCTTTGCATTTTAAATACAATTGAAATTAAGTTGACAGCACTGGCATTGACATGATTGCAGCGCCACTTCAGATATTCCGGTAATTCTGCAGGTCCCAGTTAGGGATGTAAAAAATAAAACATCGATGTATCGAGCATCGACGATATTTTTAACATGATGCATCGATGTTATCAGATGTTTGTTTTCTTGCGATACATCGTCGATCCATCGATGTTTGTCCAAACATGGAACACATGTCTTGTTGGGCGGTCACATTTCTTTGTGTGGCTTACCGAAAAAGGTATATGTTCATTAAAATCTGTATTCTGTTTATAATTTGAATTGTTATGCATTTGATATTTATTTTTATTCGCATTTAATCTCACATTTAATATGCTTAAAATACAATTTAATGTGAAGCGTGGGATTGATTTGTTTTTAAAATTGTATATAATCATTTTTTTAAGTTAACCATACAAGTTCATTAAAAGTCAATTTTAATTTAAAATTTAAATTTAATTTTAATTTATTGGCTAACAACATTGAGTAAAATACTATGACAGTCTCTTTTGATATGTGTATAAGCATTTTTTATTTAAAACATCTCTGTTGATTTTCTTCCTGCGATGTATGGACCATCCATCAATTTTTTGTAAACAGACATCGATGGACATCAACATCGATGTTTTCCCTTTGACTTACATCCCTAGTCCCAGCTTCCTGCTCCCCCACCTCCCGCACCTAAAGCGTTCTTTGTCTCTCGGAATCTAGTTTGCTTGCTTTTGTTGATTCTGATTAGGCCAGTGGGTAGCGGTAGCGCCAGGGAAGAAGCCACTTAAAATGCATCCTTATGCCGAGAGGCTACTTGGCATCAACACTCTCCTTATTTTGTCAATTGTTTGTCACTTTGTCTAATTTTATTTAAATATTAGCTTAACAATAAAAGCAATAAACATGCTGGCATGCCCGGAATCTGAAATTTGCATCAATGATATAAAATTAATTAGAGCAGAAATTGGATTTAATGATTAACTGCAAATTTCAATGGGCTTTTGTTTTACTGCAAACAATGCTATTTCTGTACAAACACAACTATTTTATCCAATTAGTAAATGGGCAGGATATTCGTAACAAGAGCATAGCTTACACATGATAATGAAGAGTATTCCAGCATGTAAGGCGAACATTTGTTTGAAATATGAGAAGGAACCTCCTCCTTTCTGTATGCGCGTATACATTAGGAAGTTGTGGTATGAGACTCACTGCCATTAGGCACCTCTTTCCGCGTAACTCCTTTCTAGTTGAACGTGCTGGAAAGCACATGAAAATTTAATCGAGTTCCGATTTCCTGGAAATGAACAAGAAATAATAACATTTTAAATGCATTTTAGCTAAATTCTTTTACTTAGTTCCCCTCATTTTTCTTACTGGATTAAACCATTAAGCAACACGGTCTTAAAACCCATCAACGAACATTTGATATACTCCTATTTTAGTGAGGAATTGTCCGGATCTCTGCAAGAGGACCCTTTCATTTTATACAAATCAAATATCTAAATATGCAAAAATAATTGTGCTAAAAAAATGGTATTCAAAAACAATTAATTTTTTATATGGATTTTCTTTTCAGTCATTAAAAATATTATGATTGTACTGGAAATGCGAGTAGAATGAACAATTTTATTTAGGAACTAAAAAATATGACTGTATTTCCTAACATAGACGTAATTATTTTCAAATTATTCAACGAATATTTTAATTTTGTATTAAAGAAACAGATCACTCAAGTATTTACTGTAAAATTAAGTCGATTCTCATACTAGTGTAGCGCCAATACATCCATTTGTGTGTATATATATACATATATGTTTCTAAATAAACAAATTTTTCTGCCACTGATATTTGTTCCCTGTATCCAAAGGGTATATTATTCTACTCAGAAGCAGGCGTTGCAGATCCGCGAACATATGTATAGAAATATTTTTGAACAGCAGACTAGGTTATTCTGGACATGACATTAAATCAAAACAAAACACTCCCTTCCACTTATTCAGCGTTCTAATTTCCCCCCTCCATTTTCTATTGAAGCGAATGTAATACAAACCACTGTTAAGTAAACATTTGTATTTCAAAATGTAAACGTAAAGAACCCAATTATGGACTGACACTTTGTGAGCATATTCGGTTTAGTTTGACATCCACTGTGCAGCCACTTACAAAGTTGCTCGCATGCGATAGAAATGACTTATCACAGCTCTCAAACCGTAGGCAGTGCTGCTAAAACTTTTCGCTAGCCGTTCGTTCACTTCGTCAGCGTGGCAGTGTTGCCAACTTTCGATTACAAATAATAGCTAAAGAGCTGTCTAAGAAAAAGCTAAAAATAAGCAGGATTAATAAGTCTATTGCAAAATAGTATTCAATATTTAATTTTTCAGAATATCTCAAAAATATTTCAAAATTATTAAATATTTTATGATGAAAAATTAAGAGTAAAACAAATGCAAATAAAGTTAACTTTATTGATAAATACTTGAATTCGAATGTTCAATTATTAAGTTAACTAGTTAATAAATAATTGAATAAAAAAGTAAATACTGCAATTATAATAAAGCTTAGAAACGTTTTAGTTTCAATTTAAGCAATTTTAGTTAGTTAGTTTTTCGTTATGTCAGCTATATATTGAATAGGCATAATAATAATAATAATAGCTGAACGAGTGGCTAATATAAAACTATATTTAAAGTTAAAGCTGCTATACGATGTATAATCTGGTTGGTTGCTTTCTTCTTCTTAAAAATGTCATAGAAATGTGGATTACTTAAAATCTCTATATCTACATCATCTGAAAATTCATAAAGATCCACAACCAACATTGCATTATTTTTTCCCCAGTTATTGGAGATGTCCGCTTATGTGGAGCAAAATAAAAGTTGTGTTTGAAATGCTGTTATATTATTAAAAAAAAAATGCGTTTTATTAATGTATAGTAAAATTTCTTTTTTATTTGTATTTTGTTGATTAATTTATTGTGGTTTATTTCTGGATTTAAAATCTCTGAGAAAGTTAAGAATTTAAGGAACACAACAAACAAAAAGACTTTACTATAAATGCTATCTTGAGTACGAAATTCATCTCTCGATGAATGGGTGCGATCCTAAGATTCCTATATCACCGAACAGAAATATCGATTAATACTACACGATCTGGTGTTCCCATTCTCACGCTACTTGGAGTCTTGGGAAGTTCCTAATTATCATTCGATGCACTTAAAACTCATAATGTTTACCAGAGTAGGTAGACCGTGCCAGACAGGTCTTTATTTACACGGTTTTGATTTAACACGGTTTAATAATTTTTGTTTGAGTAATGAGGAATTTTAGTGCCTTTCTATGCAGTAGGTGTACATTAAGTGTACAGCGGTATTGCCAGTCCAGTCTAGCCCTTTTTTATAGAACACATTAAATAAATACATTATTCTAAATTGGTTTAAGAAAAATAAAGTGCAATACTTAAGTTTTTCAAAAAATGCCTTTAATTCCCCTAGCTTCAATTAGAAATCGAAAAACTGGCCAGAACTGGCGATAAAAATGGCTAAATGGACAGCACTGGTCTGCGTCTGCGCTTTAAATTTGCCGGCATTTTTGGACCAACCAGTTCCTGCGCCGACGCCTCCCCCCACCCAGACATGCTTCCGTTTCCTGTTATATATACTATATGGGCTGGCTGACTGGAGTGTGTGTGTGTGTGGAATGAAAACAAAAATAAATGCACTTGTACGTGCGTGCATATATATGTGTGTGTGTTGTGTGTGTGTGTTTAGGGCCTAAAAATAGCCACTTATGGAATTTTAGTTGAAATACTTTGCCGAGTGCTGGCCAAAAAGAATTTTGTTTATTTTGTTGTAGTCGTGCCGATGCCGATGCCGTTACTTTTTGCTTATTTTGTTTGTGTAAAATAAAACACAAGGAAATCAGGTGGACGAGCAGATTACTTTTGAAGTGCTTGGACTGCAACAACAATAATAAAAACAACAATAACAACAGCAGCAGGAACAAAGAGATCAATTTTGATTACTTCATTTGCGTTTGAAATCGTGCATATCGCAGGGTGGGTGGCTATATATCTACTATATGTATAGATATATAGTTTGCTTTGACTGACCGACGTTTTAACTGTCTGCTGAAAAGTGGCTCGTGGGGGGAAGGGGAGGGATGGGGCGTGCCCGCGCGTGTGTAAAACTAAATATTAATTTGAAATACTGAGAGGTTCATTGTGTGTGTGTTTTGGCTTTGTTGTGGTTTTGGATGTTAAGTGGAATGTAAATGGTTTTAAATGAGTGCGGCTTGTACAAAAACCACTGCATTTTATTTGTTTCCCATTGAAATGAGAATTGTGTGGCTATTTTCAATTATTTAGCTATGTAGACACAACAACAGCCAACTCACTAGCACATCAGGCCCCCCGTGCTACTTATATCTGTTGGATAACGTCATTCCATTGATTAGTTTAGTTAGTTTCGAAAAAGCAGTAACAAATGAATGAAAAAGTGCATATAATTTGAAAATAATTTGCACACAAATTTGCCGAAATTCACAAACAATGAGTATTTATAATAATTAGATGAATTTTATACTGAACACAATTTTTTGTGCAAAAAACTTTATGATTGAAATTTACTTTTTGAAAACTACTTGTCTAGTAGCACCAAATGCATACAAAATGAACTAACGTTTCCTCGAATAAAAATAAATAAATAAAGTGTTAAAACAAAATCAAAATTAAAAGAAAATACCAGAAAAAGGAACAATTAATCAGTACAGCAATTAATTTTACAAAATAAAATCTACAAATAGGATGTAGACAAAAAAATTAATGTCCATGCACAAACGAAGAAAAATTAATAAAAATACAATAAATGGCATTTTTAAAAATGTGTAATGTATCTTGATAAAAAAAAGTAATTCGGCTACATATAAAATACATTATAATAAATAAAATAAAATCAAATTATATAAATTTACTAGAAATTCAGCTTTATTAATGTTTAAAAAGTTTATAATACAATTTTAAAATACCTTTCAGGAAATTTGAAAATCTAACATGAAAAACTTTTAAGAAAATTTAAAATAAATAAACAAATTTGCTAGAAAAAGATAAAACTGTTAACATAATAGAATTAAAAAAAAAAAAAAACATTTTAACACAAACACAATTTGTATCAAGTATAATAATAATAGCTAAAAATCGAGCTATTTTTATACTTTTTATATATGTATAAACATAAATTTATTGAATGTTAAATTTGTATTGCTATTTTTGCAACCAGAGTTGAGGGCATTGTTACATTCCTTATTCTAATTACCGTAACTTTGTTATTATGTTTATTTACATTTTTGCCGCTCGTATTCATGAATTTCTCTCTCGCTCATTTCTCTTTCACACACACACATTTATACTAACGCACACATCGCTCTTTCTGAGCGAGCGTCGCAAAGTGAGCAGAGTTGCCATATCGCGCAACGGTGAGCGTCGCGCGTTGAATTGTAACTAAAATTGTATATATTTTTTTAACAAAAAGCTAAATTAAAATCATTGCAAATAAACGCCCAACAAAATAATAAATACAAGTTTTAATACAATGTACTCATACATTACATTTGAAGAGCGCATACACTAATACCAAATTTACGTTCCACAGCTTCCACACATATACACGCACGCACTTCGTCCAACTTTTGTTGGTGTTAATTTTTTTTAGTTTGCAATCGCCGCTCGTCGCGTGTGGATGTTGTCGGAGAGCAGCGAATTAATGAAGTAAGCGTCGATTGCGTTTTGTACCTCGTCTCGTTCGTTTACGTTTTATAGTTTTGTTGTACGCCGCGCGCTTTGTGCACTTTGCGTGTATGTGTATATTTTTGTATAAATAAATTATTAATAAAATCAGCAAACAATCAACATACTTGCTATATATATAAAAATATTAATAACCACGGCGTCTAACAAGTGTAAGTGAGTGAGAAACAAACCAAACAAAAAGAAATAAAAGGGAAGCCGCCGCTGGCAGCGGAGGCAGCAGCGTCCCAAGAATGTGGCTTTGACGACGATTTGAAAAAAAATTTCACACTGTTGTGTTCAATAAATTGGTTTTTCATTTCAAATTAACAAAACATGCCACTAAAACATATCTAAAACAAAGTGCAAAGGCAACAGCAACAACAACAACAAACGCGCAGCGCCCAAAAAGAAAATCCGGTTTTACAACTTCTGCTGTGATCGTGCGCTGACATCGACGCCGGCAGCGCAGCGGCTGACGACGCATTCTCGACAGCGCGGCGGCGTCGCAGTCTGCGTGTTTTTATTTTTTCTTACATGCATTTATTTAAACCACAACAACAACAACAAAAAATGCAACAATTTGTTTAGTTGCATGAAAACATATTCATTTCTATTACTTTTTCTATTTATTTTGTGTACACACCTGGCCGCCGGTTCACAGACAGACACACACACACATACAGGTGCGCAGTAACAAAAGTTTTGCCTTTGTGTGTGTGAGCATTTCAAATTTTCTTTTTTGACTATTTTCGTATGCATACATACATAAATAAAAACAAAAGTATACGTCTATACAATGTATGTTTGTGTACGTACACACATAGATATATTTATATTTTTTTTTAGACATGTGCATTTTTTCCGGCCGTTTCCATTGTGCTTTGTTGTTGTTTTCGTTGTTGCTGCGCATCGTCGCAATCATTAAAAATAACATAAAAATCGAAGGAATAAAGAAAGTGAAATCGATAACAATAACAACATAAAGTGAAATATTCAATAATATAATCAAAAGATACAATCAAATGTGCAAAACATTTTAAAAGTGTGAATACAAAATTTCGAGGAAATTGAAATCAAAAACGAAAGCATTTGAACGACTTTTCAGTGTTAAATAAACAATAATCTATAGATTTATTCGTTGTTATTATTTGCATAATTTTTCATTGTTGTGCAGATGTTTTTTTTTTCCATTCTATTACCGTATGTCTCCAAGTGCAATCAGCGCGATGAAGTGTCGGAATTTCTTGTCATGATAATTGTTTTGGTCAGGGCTGGGTGTACGTACGACGGGTATTTTCTTATCTTATCCGTTCGAACAAGTCGCGTAAACAAGCGCTAATGGCGGATGGCGTAATAAATCGACCATAGAGGAACACAATAACATCAAACTATGCGCAGTACCTCTCGGTTGTCTACACTCCTATGCGGTTTTCTTATCAAAAATAATAACATTAAAAAAAGACAATAGAAATGTCTGTTGATAGCCGACATTTGCTTACTCTTATAAAGCTAGTTGCAGTGGAAAGCGATAATTTTTAATTCTACAAGACTCTTTGTTGTATTTTGATATTCTAGTTAGTTATGTTTGAAATTGTTTTTCGAATTGACTGCGAAATATGATAGAAATGTTAAATTGTAAAAATCGATCAATTTTCATATTTTTGGCTTTGTTTTCGAATTCGGCCCTATCCTTGCCCTAGAATTTGTTTTGGTGGTATATTTGGGGCAATATTCGGAATTGGATGGTAATATGTTTCAAACAAAATCTATCTTATCGCCAAACATCCTTAATGAGTATTGCCTGTGAATTTTATAGTAAATTATAATATATAATATAATATATTAGCAGCATCTCCAACGCAAAAAACTATATACAAGTATATATGTATATTTATTTTTAATAAGCATTTTAAATAAATCGAGTTAGGCACTTAACAGAAGAAGCTTATTTCGTGTCAATCTTCTCACTAAATTAAGAGCACTCTTTAGTGTAGGGCACTAAACGAAATGGTGTGCTTGTGCATTTTCTGTGGCAGCATAATATATGTGTATATATATATACATATATATATATTTTTTTTTTTACCATCTTTCCTGCCTTGGCTTGCAGTGCATCTTGTTGTATTTGTTGTTGCTGTGGAAAATATTTTTATCTACTTACACGCTGTCTAGACGTACGCGTAATTGAAATGTATACACACACACACACTTACATATGTATATACATAGAGAAATTCTTGCACCCTCGCTAGTGTGGATGCTGTCTACTAAAGTTCTCAATATTGCTTTACTACAATGTTGTTGTTGTGGTTGTTGTTATGCTCTCTTCATTCCAATGCAGGCGCCGGCACCGTCTTCATGGTCGGTACGTGCCGCCAAAGAGCGTGCACACACACACACACACACCCCCAAAAAAAGGGGGCGCTAACGCTGCCGCCGCACAACAACCCCCAAATTTGGTTTTGCAAAACGCACTTTGCTTTTATTGCCCGGCTTAGAACATTTTCTGGCCTATTGTTGTTGTTGTTATAGCGCCGTTTTGCGCAAAAAAAAAAAAGAAATGTAAATACATACCAACATTTAGAATTCTGTTTGGGCGCAGCCCTTGCCCTATCCCCCTCCCCCTAGTTTATACGCACTTCGACAACACCCACAAAAGTTTTTCAAAGTTGAGCTTTTTCCGGCATCCATTGGATTTACGTCCATTGGATTTGCTTTCGTCCTGTCTGGTGCCATTGTGTGGAGGTGCTGTCCAATGCACATGCCAGCCTCAAGCTCCCCGTTCCCTCCCAAACGCCCAGCCAGTTGCAAGTTCCGCTGCCATTAGCCATGACAAAAGTAAAAGCAACAACAACATTCCAACATTTCAGTCTAGAATCGCATGGTCTGGCATTAGATGACAGTTCCCACAATGCAGTCTTGCACATTGCTTTCAGAGTAATGGCAACTTGAAATATAGGTGGTTAGTTAAATGTTATTTATGAACTTTTGGTCATATTGCAATTAGATATTGCTAGTGCAAGCAAACTGTTAGGGTTTCAGGAACTTCATTCAACCAATATGTAGTATCACATTTCTATAGTCGAAATTGGTTCAAACTTGTAATACTTTTATTATGAGTATGAGAAAGGAATCAGCAATAGGATCAAAAATATGTACCAATAAGAAATTTTGAATGGTTCTCTTAAAAATGTTTTTGAAATTGTTTCGAAATTAAGCTTTAACAAAAAATTGCCTGAAGCTTTTTCTAAATCACATTGGATTAATAATAATAATAGTTAAAAAAAGTAACTCCAACCATATACTATAAAAAAGATCAACGTCTTCAATATGTATCTGTTACCATAACACATTTCTCGACAATATTTTTTATCTACGGTTAGCATATGGGATCCACATACTTTTTCGAAGAGTTACGAGTAAATAAATTAAATCTTTCAATTTCGATCTAATCTAATCTTATCTGTCTTATTAACTAAGAAAGACTGTTCGTAAAACATCTCACAAACACTTAGCACAATTAAAGAAACAAAGTCTGTTCTTTCATACTCAAAATCAAAAAAAAAAAAAAAAAAAACTAATCGAAAAGTCTCCCTAAAATTGCACACAAATGTCAAAATTTGTAGAGATTCGTCAAGTTGTTAGACGTTTTCATTTTATTTAGATGTAATTAATGGTTTTCCACTCTCGGGCAGCCTAACATTAAGATAAGTTTATGTTGACAGTAGTTTTGAATATAAAACGTAGACTAGAGTTATATGAACAGATATGCAGGACAGATTAAGTGCCAAGAGCGTGTGGTACCAAAGGTCGTTAGCAATCCTATATAGCTTTAATAGCTGACAAAAATACTTTGAACTTGACCTATATGATTATTTTATATTTATGGGATAAAGCTTTGTAGGCTTTTGAGAATTTTTGTATATTCGGCTGGCCTTGTAAATTTTATGGGATACTAAAAGTCTAAACAAATTTTAATATTTTCTTTTGTTCGTTTCGATATAATTCTGGATATAAGGGAATCATCGCGGCACATGTGCTTGTATTGTTTATAGAGAAATTAAATATTTTTAACATTTACGCCTTTTGCTTCCAGAGACAGTGTAGCAATTCTTGGGAGTTTATTGTGAATTACTGATTGAAATTATGACTTTATTTATGTGAAGCCGATAAATACAAATGGGCTCGTAAAATTAATAAGCCATAATACTGTGGATTTTTGCTGTTGTCAATTTTTATTATTTTTTAATTTGCTGCCATTGTTCCTTATTTATTACCCACTGTGCGGAGCAAGCGACAGCTGTTGGTCAGAGAGCTGTTAGTCTGAACAGTCATTGTTGTTGTTGCGGCTGCTGTTTGTGGCAGTTTTTGCTGCTGTTGTGTTTGTTGTTCTGCTGCTCTTCACTTTACCGTTCGCTTCTGTTTGCCGCTTCTGCTGCTGCTGTTATGTACAAAAGTTTGACGTGTTGGGGCAAGCACTGAAGTCGTTACCACTATAGTCGGGCCTCGAAAACGAAACCATCTCAGAAATATTCCAATGTATGTAATCTGTAGACGAAGCTTGTGGAAAGTGGCAGGTTCTTCAAGTTCGTATATCTATATTCAATCTTAATATTGCTTGCTCCCCGGACACAACATATTCGAATTCTGGATCTGCAAATTAAGGAAAATCAACTTAGAATAGGCATCATCTTTGGATGGAATAAAACCCACCTAGGGCTAAACATTCAGTTTTCAGTTCATTAAAGTGCAGCCATTTATTTGAGTTTTTTCAAATTGTCATCTTTTTACACTTTATTTATAAACAGAGTCTGGTGTCGTCATTATACAAGCAATTCGGATCGTATTAAGTCAACCAAGTACCAATCTTTCATTCTTGACTAACCGTAGCCCATTGGCCAATAGTCTGCTCCTATTTCCTAGTTCCTTGCAGAACATAAAGATCAATCCTTATCTGGTTATATTTATTTGAATATAATTAATGTCGTTTCTGCCTATTTCATAGCTTCATCTCGACTACCATTTGTTTTTATACCCTGTACCCAAAGGGTGAAAGGGTATACTAGTTTTGTGCGAATGTATGTAACAGGCAGAAGGAAGCGTGGCAGACCCCACAAAGTATATATATTCTTGATCAGGGTGACAAGCCGAGTCGATATAGCCATGTCCG